GCCGACCACGTCTCCATGCTGCATGGTGGGCTCTGCCATGAGCCCCCTGACCCCTGCCCACTCTCCCAGCCCTTCCTCCCCAGCTCCCGGCCCTTTAAAAAAAAAAAGCCCACACTCGCTGTCTGCTGCAGCAGCCTCAGGGCTTCTGGGAGCTCATGGCAGAACCACCAGTGCAGTGCGGGGCAGCGGGGATTGCCCCTCAGCCTGGCAGCAGCCGGTGAGTGCAGGCTTTTTTTCCCCAAAGAGCTGGGAGCTGGGGCCGGGCAGGGGATGGGGCCTGTGTGATTTGGAGATTCAGCTGATTTGGCAGCAGCCAACTCAGATTTGACCAAATTGACTCAGGACAGTGATTTGAATCACTGAATCGAATCACTGTCCCCCGAATTGGCCGAATTCAAATCCGAAGTGAATACTAGTCGCTTTGCACAGGCCTAATAAACATATGCAAGTAGCTAAAAGGGAGGTAAAAAGCCTTGGAGGTCAGGCAGGGGGTGGGGGGGAAGCATGTGGTGTGGGGCATGGGGAAAGGGGAAGGAGGGGCATGGTAATGAGTCACTCTGCATTTTGGACTGCAGGCTTGGGGCGTGGTGGAACAAGGTAGGGCCAGCGGCCTGATGCAGAGAGTGGAGACTGGGCTCGGGCCCAGAGAGAGACTGGATGGAGGGGCTAGAGCCCAGTGAAACAAACAGGTGATTTGACTGAAGCTGAGAATAAGAATAGGTATCCTTCTCAGGGCATGGGGATGAGAGCCCAATGTTGAGCAGGGCAGGGTGAAGCACCCAATGCTTACTTGCGTATTCTGAGGGTCAACTTCCCAAATGTGTATCTATTTTCTACCATCAAGGTGTGACAGGCAGGGTGCTACCTTGGAAGGCCTGAGTGAGAGGAAACAGAACAAGTGCACTTGGAAAGGGGTGTCACCACTGCCCAGAGGTGGGTCCTGTTACACCACAGTTCTTAATTGGGACTCTGGGTATTAAAACAATACAAATAATACTAATGAACTGATAGCATTCTCCGTGGTAAAACTGAGAACTTTGAGATTAAATGTTTGGAGATTTTGGTTCTCCCCTGGCAGACAAGTCTTAAGAGGTTGCATTAAAAATGTTATGAGTCTCATGGCATCCATAGGACTTACTTAGGCCAGGGCTTGGCAACATATGGAGAAGTGGCGGTGGTACAGTGCAGCTTGCAGCTGTGTGCCTCAACATGAGTGCAGGGAAAGCCCTGCCTTCTCCCTCCCACTCACCAATATGCCACAAAAACTACCCTTCCTACCTTGGACCCAATCTGGGTTGTTCAAGCCCGTGGTTTATGAAAGGTTGCTAACCACTGATTTAGGCTATATCCAGACAAGACTGAAAGTGCACAGAGGTCACGCTTGTGCCCCTAGACCTACTATTTACGTTCTCTACTTTGAAGTCAGGCAACAGCTAAATTTTTGGAACACAGGAGCTGTTTAAATGGTCTGCCCCCAAAGACTAATGGATACTGATTTTCAGAAGGATTTTAGAACTGATACTGTTGTGGTAAGAGTGCTCTTTAATTACCCTCATAGGACACGATACCCATCTTTTATCTTTAACTCTTCACCAATTTTAAACTTACTAAATACTTTTTCTTCCTTTTCTTGATATGTAACCAAAGTGAGAAGGCCAGAGCACTCATAATGGATGTCTTGTTCTGTGTACAATAGATTGCCGAATAAAGGATTTCTGAAATGATATATGTTATCTGTGTAAAAAGTGAGAAAAGCTCTTCCTCTTCCGCAGCATCTGCTAAAAACCAGCAGAACCCTTCTAGGTGCCAACCAGATTGTTTGCAACTAGTAACTGGACTGAGTGCTCTTTCTGTGATGCATTCTATTCTAATATTATTTTTGGATAGAATAAATTCAGTGGATTTGCCTATCATTGTCCATGGTAGAGAAATATTACCTTCTCAGAATAAATCCCTGCAGCTTTTATTGTTTACATTTCAATAATGAGACAGCTGTAGTGACCTAGAAGTTAGATCCATATCCCTTTGGGTGGGTTCTTCATAGAATCATAGAAGTAGGGTCAGAAGGGACCTTGTAGATCTTCAAGTCCGACCCCCTGCCTGGGCAGGAAGAAAACTGGGCTCAAATGACCACAGGCAGGTAGACATCAAGCCGCTTCTTAAAGACTCCCAGGGTAGGAGCCAGCACCACTTTCC